AATGTCTAACTCTAATCAATCTACATATTTTGCGCGACCTCACCCATTTTTCTTCGGCAGTTACTACCGACACCCGAAAGCGTTGAACTGCACACTGGTCACAACTCACAAGAACTCCGAGAATTTCCTCACGAAGCTAGTCAATAGTGAGCACATTTTACGATTTTCCAATTCGAGTTATGAAGATTTGTGTTTGTTGAACACCGAAATCATCAATCAATCATTGTTAGACCATCATTAGAAACTTGGAAGCACCGGAAGACGGCCGTTTTGTACTGGTATGGGACTCATCAGCAGTGCGACTAGAAAGTAGTTAGAAAGTCTACATTTTAGTGTTCAAGGAAAAAAGTCTATCAGATGATTGTTAGGATGAAACTAAAGTTGAATACTACTGTTACTCATCTATGTAATATAGTTTTATAAGCGGTCCATTCGAACAAACTTTCTGAATCAGAATTAATGATACTAACCAGCTATCTAAACTGAAATTAATTCAACTGAAACGGAATCTGTAACCCTAACGATTGAAAAACTAATTCTTTAACCAATAAAGTAGTACTGTGGTGTGTGCTACTTATACGAACGATATAAGTAGTATAAGAAGGGACGTGAAAGAAGAAGTCTCACGGTCAGAAGAGGAAAACGGAAAGCAAATGGAGCAAAAGCAAGAAGTAAATGGAGTACCAACAGGAAGTAAAGGAAGCAACAACAGGAATGGAAGAAGGATGGAGCGTTGGAAGTCACGACTCAAAGATGGTGTGCAAATAGAGTGTTCAATGTAATGTTTTCGTTTTTAATTGACTCAGAGTGTAAATTTACGTAATACAATCTATCGAGCCTGCCTCAGTCTTCTCAATTGGTGTCGCTGCCTCGACACAGGATGAAGATGCCATAGCCTCGGGAGTTTGAAGACGGAGATGTAAGGAGCTTCTTGAAGGAGTTTGAGGGCGTGGCGGAGCTGGCTGGAGTCAAGGAGCAAAGGGCGAAGGCGGTGGTGTTGGGGACTCTACTAAGAGGCAGGGCGAGAGTGGTGTACGATAGTGTGGAGGACGCTGACTGGGAGGTGGTGACGGAAAGGCTGCTGGTGGAGTTCGACAGCCCGGCGGATAGGCAGGACGCAACGCAGAAGTTCCGAGAGGCGATACTGACGGTGGATGGCAACCCACTCGTGCTGGCTGTGGAGTTAACAAGATCGCTGCGCCGGGGTCTGCCGAATTTGGATGAGTCGCAAGCACAGCTGCTAGCGTCCCAATTCATTGAAAGTGTGCCTGCAGAGGTTGCCCGAGAGTTGAGACTGGTGAACGCGGCACAACTAATGGACGTCACCGAGCTGGCTAAAGTAACAAGACAGCTGATGAACTCAACAGTCGCCTCGGTGGTGTGTGAGAGATAGGCTGATGATGTCGCGAAGAAGATAGAAGAATTACAACGAGAGGTGGCAGCGTTACGAATAAAGGGTGGAAGAAATAATAAATGCTATATTTGCGGAGGAATCGGGCATTGGAAGAGGAATTGCCCAACACGACGAAAACATTACATTGAACACTCTAATTGCACACCATCTTTGAGTCGTGACTTCCAACGCTCCATCCTTCTTCCATTCCTATTGTTGCTTCCTTTACTTCCTGTTGTTACTCCATTTACTTCTTGCTTTTGCTCCATTTGCTTTCCGTTTTCCTCTTCTGACCGTGAGACTTCTTCTTTCACGTCCCTTCTTATACTACTTATATCGTTCGTATAAGTAGCACACACCACAGTACTATAGGCAAAGAAAAAAATGATTCTGATTATGTTCATGTGATTAGATAATCTACTAAAAAAAAACACGTAACATTTATCTAGGTATACAATTTTTTTCACTGGAAAAATAAAACAAACACTATTTAATTGTAGTAGAAACACATTAGAGTATTTCTTACAGCTTAACAACATATTCGTTTACACAACAACATTATTACTCTCTCTCTCTCTCTGATCAGTAAACAAACTAAGTTTATTTAAGTCAGCAACAAAATTACAAACACAATGCAATCATATTTTGATACTGATAAATATATATATGCGTATGTTGTATAATGTGTTTATTGATTATTTAGCCGATAGTACAAGTTGCGAGAAAACACCAACAATGAAAAGTTGACGCGTACAAGAAGAGAACACCGACAAAAAAAAACTTGAAATAATCTAATTTTTGATTGTGATCAAAACATAAATTGAATTGTAGAATCAGTTTTCAATGTATGCAGAAACATATGAATCCCTGGTGGTTTTTGGTTATCTTGCTATTGTGATTGATTGCCACAAAAACTTATGTACACACACAGAGAGAGAAACATACGAGTTATCACAATAGATTGTAATGACGATGTATTATCGTCGTTGATTTTATTATCAAATGTTTATTTAATTTGTAGGTGATGTGTTTTTGCGAAGGAGAGAGAGAGAAAGAGTACACATGATGTGAAGAATATCCTTCCAGTTCAATTTATCTTCCATTGTGTTGTTTCAGATCTATGTGATGAGTAGTTATCGTTTTATATTTTTGTACTTACTTACTTACGCCTGTTACCCCCAATGGAGCATAGGCCGCCCACCAGTTTTCTCCAACCAACTCTGTCCTGGGCTTCCCTCTCCAGTTCTGTCCAATTTTTGTTCATTTCTCTCATATCTTTTTCTATTTCTCGGCGTAATGTGTTTCTTGGCCTTCCTCTTTTCCTTTTGCCTTGAGGGTTCCATGTGAGGGCTTGTCTCGTGATGCAGTTGGATGCTTTCCGCAATGTGTGTCCTATCCACTTCCACCGCTTCTTCCTGATTTCCTCCTCCAATGGAATCCGGTTAGTTCTCTCCCACACTAGTTTGTTGCTGATCGTGTCTGGTTTATGTTTTTGTGAAGGATCTTAAATCTTATTGTGGGAGGGAACCAGACCGGATTCAAGCAGAAGAAGAAGAAATGAGGAAGAAGTGCTGAAAGTGGATTGAAACCACGATGGGGAAAGAACTCATTTGCGCCATAAAACAAGACCTCACATGGAATCCTCAAGGCCAAAGGAAAGGAGGAAGGCCGAAGAACACATTAAGCTGAGTAAAGGAGACAGACATGAGAAGAATGAACAACAACTGGACAGAACTAGAAAGAAAGAGCCAAAACAGAGTAGGTTGGAGAATGAAAGGTGTTTTTAGTATTAGCTCCGCTCTTAAAAGCACTTAGTGAGCAACCTTACCGACGGAGACGAAAATCCGTGAGGTAGTGGAGGCGGGACATATTTAGAGTGGACCTCTTCTAACACTTCCTTCATTGTGAGAAGACAGGATCGCTGCAGATGCTGGTGGTCGAGGGGAAACACGTTACTGCTGTCATAACCCCTGCAGTCAGCAGTACGACTTCGCCCTCAGACCTTGAGTAGCTGCTTTTAGTCTCATCGTTCTCCAATCGACCTGGCTGGCATGGTAGAACCTTCAGGAACATATGTTCCAGTCAATATAGCTCGGTTGGGTCATGACGATAGGCAAGCCCGACCACCACGTCAAGGTAGCAGCTATGTTGGAGACCTTGAACGACATGGCTCAGAATCGTTTGCAATGGCGCAGGTGTATCGACTCTTTGTGTACTATGAAATTCTAACCTTCTGAATTCCTCATAATCTCTACCTTTCTCCTTCTAAGTTTATCTTACTGAATTATACTTTTTGAATCATATCTTCTCCATTGCTGCTAATAATTCTACTATCGCTATCACTCTGGGATTTGAACTGATATTTACGTCTCTGTGCTGACGTGGTATGGTATGGCAACCTGAACTGATGTACTACTGTTCTGCGTTGTATCTGTCTGTCTGTCAGGTTGGAGAATGCTGATATGCGGCTTACGTTTGACTAGGGGTAACAGGCGTAGGTAAGTAAGTAAGTAATCTTAAATCTGCGAGGCGTAATTCTACTTCAATGTGTTTTGAATGAAAAATTTGAAACTTCTACATTAATCCAACAAGATTATCCCAAGTGGAGCGCTATCCAAACTTAAGGCAACTGAAGATGTCTCTTTGGATTGATACATCACTTTCCTAAATTTACATTGATATTTTCAATCCACTTTTAGGGATATTGTCATCAAATGCACACAGGATTAGTTTTTATCTAAATCAATTTTCTTTAGTCTCTTTTATGGTTTTTTTGTACTGGATAAGGTCAGGAGGAGGAGAACTAGTGGTTCTATACACAAATAACAGCAATTGAATGCTAAGCGCTAATCTCATCATATAAATAAATGGATAGGAAATTGTTTCAGATAATATTAAAGTAAATCTTTTTTTATCCGACCATAGCTGCTACCTTGATGTGGTGATCAAGCTAGCCTATCGTCATGACCCAACCGAGCTATACTGGCTGCAACATATTTTCTTGTAGGTTTTATCATGCCAGCCAGAGAGGTCGATTGGAGAACGATGAGACACTAAAAGCAGCTACCCAAGGTCTGAGGGCGAAGTCGTACTGCTGACTGCAGAAGGGTGTGACAGCAGTAAGGTGTTTCCCTCGGACAACCAGCATCTGCAGCGATGCTGCCTTCTCACAAGGAAGGAAGGGTTAGAAAATGTCGACCATAAAAATGTCACACCTCACCCTACCTCACGGATTTTCATCTCCGGTGGTAAGGGTGCCGCCCACTAAGGGCTTTCAAGAGCAGAGCTACCCATAAAAACCTTTGATCGAAAGGCCGTGCGTGTCCGGCCTCAAGTAGTTGTCCTTTGGGCTCTGCGGTCACGCTCCCAGATTGTTAAGACCAACGCTAACCTATCTTCTTTTCCAGATTCCTCTAGAAACACCCTTCCACGGTGTGAGCAGCCGGGAAACGACAACCGCCCTCATAGCCGTAACAGCACACGAGACCAAATTGGTCAAAATCGAATCAAAAATCGTAAATTTTTCAGTTCCAATCTGGCATACAAATGTCTGTTTGTCTGAATGTGTTGCATGATCAAAAATTAGTGCGAAATACATAAAACTTACCATTCACGTATTGATGATTAGTGGCTATATTCCCACGATAACGCTAAAAAAACAAACAAACAGAAAGAAAGACAATCAACTTGATGAATTAGGGGGGTTAATTTGTGTCAGGAGAAAGTGAATGACTCGATATATAATAATAATAATAGTAATAATAATATTGATTTTTTCATTATACAGTTATGGAGATCATTGTTTATGTTATGTTCGTCACTTGGTACACTTCAAGCTATTACGAGTTCCCCTTAGTTGATAAACGCGAACGAGACTTTTACCAACGTCCGGGTAGGCTATCTTGAATTCAAACGGTAAAACAGAAGTCTTGGTTAGCGTAGAAAGTATATTCTACAAACACCCAGCAATCACACAATACAATCAATCATACAACTCTCGTTTATTTATACAACATAGAAACGTCCTTGGAACAGTCACAAAAATAGCACACTAAAATACACAGCAGCCAATCACAGCCAAGGATTTTCCTGCTGGGAAATGAAATCTCAGTGTCAACTGATCAGCCCATGCTCGCAAAGGTGAAATCCAAAATAAGGCATTTCTCAAGCGAGTTTTGGGGATCTAACATCCCTAACACTCCTCCACTTTTTAATAGCGTGTACTCCTCGGGGTCGACTTGCATGTTGACTGTCATCATGAATTAATCAATCATTGTTAGACCACCATTTGGAAACCTGGAAGCACTGAAAAACGGCTGTTTCATTCTGATCTGGGACTCAGGAGTAATGCTACTCACAAGAATTGTGGATACGCACTACTCATGAGTTTCATTATACCAGGATGAAACGGCCGTCTTTCAGGTACTTCCAGGTTTCCAAATGGTGATCTAACAATCATTAATCGACTCGTGATTTCAATGTGTAAAAACAATGATAACAAAAGAATTAACGTAACTGAACAGATTGACAAAAACTAAAAGGAATATACTACATTGCAAATTATTCACAAAATGATAATAATAGGGCAGTGATGTGTGTACTGAGTTCAAGTGAACAGATGCTAAATTAATAAACTTTAAGCTTAAACGCAAATCAAGCTAATTAGATTATATCACTGGTGGTTACTCAGATAAACACTGTGAGACTCAGAAACATTAAGTGTGACTAAGTAACCTGGTGTAAAGGTTTGATCACATATTAAAAGGATTTAGGTTTAAACACTCAACTTCATAGTCAAAATTTGAATGAGTTAATTAAGTTAGCGTCATGCGATCAAATAATATAATGCAGACTTATTTGTTCACAAATGTTAAATAATTCACGAATTATTACTGTTTAACAGTAAGATACTACTTATAGATGAGTCGCTTTTGTAATTGATAGCAACCAAGTGTATTTTCACTGTGAAAAGCAGAACGACACACAATGGGAATCCTTAATACTCTTAAATCAAGTGTATTTTGTTCACTTACATGATTGTATTGCCTACAAACTCTCAAATTTGAACATTGGTAATGACTAGCTAACTGAGTAGCACTGTCTCCATCAGGACTTTAACAAGGGAGTTGTGATAGACTGACTAACGTAAGTTCAATACAACTTTCTTTCATACATCGGCGCCACTTAAAAAATAACCACTTGTCCATTCTTTGTAACCATTCGTAGAGTCAGTAAATAATGTACGATTTAGAAAATTATCAAGATGAAACTCGTAACGACCCGTGATCAACAGAATGTAGCCAGTGTTTCAAGACGGTGACCCTAAGAAATCTATTGGCACTGCACCGGCGTGTACACTGTTAGACCTAGGAATTACCAATACGGTACTATCCAACAGATTTGAGAACTTTTTTCAGCAGACAAAAAATGCAGAATTTTCTAAAATCTTGATCCATGATTAGTTAAATTTTACAAAAATCGACCAAAACTGCTCTTTTTATATAAATACTGCTCTTTCTATATAAATTTGTTGGGGATGTTAGATCCCCAAAACTCGCTTGAGAAATGCCTTATTTTGAATTTCGCGTTTGCCAACATGGGCTTATCAGTTGACCTTGAGATTTCATTTCCCACCAGGAAAATCCTTGGTTGTGATTGGCTGCTGTGTATTTTAGTGTGCTATTTTCGTAACTGTCCCAAGGACGTTTCTATGATATGTAAATAAACGAGAGTTGTATGATTGATTGTATTGTGATTGTTGGGTGTTTGTAGAACATACTTTCTACGCTTAAACAGTCTTCTATCTTCAGCTGGGGATTCAAGGTAACCTACCTGGACGATGGTTCATTTTCTCGTTCGCGTTTATATCAACTAAGGTGAACTCGTAATAGCTTCAAGCGTACCTAGTGACGAACCCTACTAAAATTAACCCTCTATTGTCAAGAACAATTTTACATTGGTTCTCAGGAGAACCAAGAAGACTACCCATGTGTTAGCATTTCAACGTGAGCAGTTCAACTCAATTACGTGGTGCGACCGCACAGGTATACCTGACATCCTGATGGACCACAACACTGATGTGTAATCAACACGAAACTATTACACACAAAAGTGAGCATAGAACTAATGACTTGATCACCAAAAAACCATTCATTCAATCAAAGCGAAATTATGATAACTTTTTGGGTAGATAACAAAATCCAAAAAAACGCATAATTAAAACATGCATGACATAATTCACATCATGGCATTATACTTAATTCCAAGTAATCGAAACGATGAAACATTTGATTGAAGCTTTTATTTAGTATTAGCCAAAACATCCTAACTAACTAACTAACTAACTAAAAAAGCATGTCAATAGACACATTCGGAATAAGAATTTAAAAAAAACACACACACACACATCCCAATCGAAATGAACTAGATAACAGACAATATAAGTGATCATAGTAGAAAAGGGAAAAAAAAGCCTAACAGAAACCGAACAATTTATGTTACAATAATTAATACAAGTGTATTACAGACTGTATAATATATGAGCCGACTTTTTTTTATACAATTAGAAACTGATAAGTTAGTCAGTAATATTTATACGGAACAAGTAATACTGGCCTACTAAATGATTATATCATTGAACATTGAATATCGGTGAATGTACATTAAAACAAAACAAAAAAAATCATTGATGTAAAAAAAGGACGAGAAACAGATAAAATGTAAGTGCCATTCATTAATGATGGTGAATATCATAATTGATAATTTTGATTGTGAATTTGATGTTTTGAGGAAATTGACAAAGCCTACAGATGACCTTCAAATGTTTATACTATTTTATACACATGCAGTGAAATCGATAAAAAAAAGTATTGTAATGATATCAACTGATGTACCCAAGAAACCAGTGTACCTACAGTTACCTTTCAAGGGTGATCATTGCATGAAAATTACAACCAAACAGACTGCAGCTGCAATGAAAAAGACCTTCAATGCAGCTAATCTGAGGCTTATCACAACAACTCAATCGATCTCAGTTACCCCAATCAAGTCTCCAAGACCGATTCAGTTCAAATCCCACTGTATTTACCAATTCACATGTAACTGCAGAGAAAGTTACTTGAGTAGGACAGATCGCCGATTGGAGGACAGGATAGGGGAACATATTCCAAGATGGTTAATCAAATCCATGATTCATTCACCACCTAGCCCGTCATCTCAAAATCGATCAAGAAACCCAGCCTCGTCCATTCCAAAACATCTAATGATGAGTGGTCATCAAATTGACCCAAAATCAGTCTTTATAGAGTTGTGACATGTCATCAAAAACCACACACACACACACTCAAACTACTCGAAGCTATCTTGATTGGTCGGAAAAGTCCAACTTCATGTGTTCAAAAACAACTGTGTGTTTACCTTTGTTTACCATGGTTCTTCTAGTGAGTGAATGTCATGCTAAATAAGAAATTTTGACCTTATCTTCAAAACTGTATTTACACAAATAACATGTTGCTTGTATGTGACTGACGAGAAAGCACGAAATGGTACTATCTCACAAAATATGTCTTCTCATTTCTCCGTTCAAATTGTAATGATAGTTTGTGCACAGTAGTTTGTGTACTACTGTGTTGAGCCCACATAGCTTGTTCTAGACCGTGGACAAACTAATTACCCTTCTCCACCCGAGTTACTATTCACAGGTCTTTTGACCCTGTTCGTTATTCGCATGTATTTTGGTTGTATTTACTGATATGGGACTCATCACCAGTGCTCATCCACAACTCCTGCTACACACAGGATTCGAGCCCAGGACCTTCAAACTTGTACGCGAACGACTAACCTTTGAACCACTAACCCGGCCGGCATCCAACGGTGTTAATGTCTAACTTCGATCAATTCACGGTCTTGCACAACCTCATCTATTGTCTTCGGTGAGCACTGCTTCACACCTGAACAGGGTTGAACTCCGCTGATCAAGACTTCTTCTAATGGCGGTCTCACATTGATCGATTCATGATTTCAAAGAGTAACTCAACAATCTCCACAACCCCTTCATGCAAACTACCCTAGTTAAGTACTTTAACACAAAATTCGCCTTGAGAGTGATTATCTTTGATAATCTAACTAAAGCACCATCTTACGTTCACCTTTCCGATTTATCAAAGAAACTTCTATTGATTTTAGGTATTTTCAGGATCACAGATTATCAATTTTTGACTTCGTTAATAATAACGTACAAGTTATCTAATCATTGTACTTGAACTGTCGAGCAAAATATATGAATCATTATCTTGATGTTGATTGGTTCACACCCAAGGTCGTCAGTAGGTTATACTATTATGAACACAAAAGTTACTTATTAATCACATAGAGAAAGCAAATTAATAGACACACATACCTGTTCATTGAAATTCAATGAATTCATTTCAAGTAATTCAGAATCCAATAATGATAATGGTGAAGTATATAAACCTGAATAAAACGTGGAAAAAGAGAACATGTGATAGAATTATAGAAATTGAAATGTACAATATTAATCATTGGCATTGCTGCTGTAATATAAAATTAGTCAATACAAAAGTTACTGATGACAACACTTGTTGTATCTTCCGAATGATGGTCTTCATAAGTTCTCCAAATTTCTGCTCCATAGTTGTATTCAAAATTGTGACTTTCGTGTTGTAGAAATGCTCCCCATACTTTGTTAAGCCGTATGTTCACCTCTGCATTAAATCCACCTTGCCAAAGTATGTATGATATATGGTTGGCGCTTGTTGTGTTGTATCTCAAAGAATTTATTTTCCCTTACAAATGTTAAGACTTACTGCTGTAGAGGCTGTTGTCAATTAATAGAGAAGTACAACTACTGAATAGTCGTTTTTGTGAACCAGTGCATATTGAAAAATATACAAATGTTCTCATTAGCTACCCAAAGTCAAAGGCTTTACACAACGACATTGAGCAGTTGTGGTCTTCTTATCGAACATATTTAAATCTAACAAGTTATAACGAGGTTTAAGGTATGTCAAAATAAAGTTCTGTTGATATTAACTAAACCTGCGACGTTTAAAGCAAAAGATAAATAGACTAACTGTGCATTCTGAGCTAGATTTCTTCTGTATAACTAGTAGACTAGTAAAGATGTCTGAGATCTTTTGAAATCCAACCAAGAAGCCATATTGATCATTGAATAAATTCAATCACAAATCCAAAAATGAAGTACGATGGCTACTTATTACAAAAATAAAACATCTTGAAATAATGTGGAAGATCAGCAATGTCTCAAATGAGTATTTTTTTGGTTTCGTTAACTTAGATGGTTCGATCACGGAGCTTGTAGTGTAAGTAACCGCTGACGATGTGACCCAGAATGACAATCATAGTCAGTCAGTCAGTCGCAACGTAGAACTTCGTACGTAAGTACATCATCAGTTCATGTTGTCATATCACATTAGCATACAGATGTAATTGTCAATTCAAATCCAATAGTAGTAGAGATAGTTAAGGTATAAGAAGTAATCGGAGAGGTCAGGATTCGAAGATATAATTCAAGAGGTATGATTCCGAGAGAAAGACAAAACTAGAGGGGTTGAAGAATCCAGAAGATTAGGATTTGAGAGAACACAAAGAATAAATGCACCGGCGCCATTGCAAACGGTTTTGAGCCATGTCATTCATGGTATCTAACCATCGATTATTATCATCTCACGGACCCCAACCAGGTTAGTCGACAAATACTAACATGACTCAGTCCACTCGTCAATGACTTCATAGATTGCTGCCAAGTTTTGATCGACTAATAAGACATTTTTTATCATTTTTTTTTTAATTTCACTGACCATCAAGTTGGTTTTATTTTTAGAAAAAAAACACATTTTTTTTCTAAACAACATTTACAACCATCATTATTGATCTTACTATCTTTTCTTATATTTACATTAAAGAGAAAAAAGGTTTGACCATCTGATCATGATGTCAATGTTATCTTTAAAAAAATAAACAAAAAAAAATCACACGCGAAAATCAAGCAACTGTTTATAAAAAAAAATGGTACTTTATCCATGTCTGTCAATCAGTATTTTGTGTATATTATGCATGTATGTATGTATATTTAAAAGTGAAACACTTTTATAATATAACCGAAGACCAAGAAGAAGATGTGAAAAGAACATTCATTGATAATTTTGTGGTGTGAGCTACTTATAAGTAGTATATGACGTGAGTGTCAACGTAATGTCTGGCAGAAGAAGATGGGGGAAGATCAAGAAAGGAAGAGTTAGAAAACAATGGAATTTGTATGAAACGCATGAATAGTGACAATGGATTGATGTTTTGCAACAGGAACAGTCCAGTTCGATATGATGAACTGATATTTTGCAAATTAACGATTTACGATATGGTTTTCCTATTTTACTGAGTAACTCTGTAATTTTCGATAAATACAATTCGATTGCCCCACATGTGTTCTCCTTCACTACAATGTGACGAACTAATCAGTCGGAAACAGCAAAAAAAAGATCAATGCGAGATCTGAATCAATATTGATAATCTCCTCACATTTATTTGATAGTAGTAACATTTTCTTTTTCCAGTTTCTATTATGCAATTTATTCAGTTTGAAAGTTTGTTTAGTGAAATTTTTATTTATGCTTTCAATGTCATTAGAGATTTGTTAGAAGCATTGTTTTGGCAGTGTAGAAGTAGGTTGACAGAAAGTTAGGGGCGGCCAAACCAAAACATGGCAGGAATCTATGAAGTCGCTGACAAGTGGACTGAGTCATGAAGGTAGATATATAGGCTACGCGGTTGGGGTCCCACGAGATGAAAGAAACCGATGGTTAGAGACTTTAAACGACATGGCTCAGAAGCGTTTGCAATGACGCAAAGTGCATCCACTCTTTGTGTTCTCTGAAATCCCAGTCGTCAGAATTCCTCATCACTTCTCAATCTTTTTCTTTTTGAATTTATTTAACTGGTATATACTTGTTGAATAATTTCTTCGAGCTCAAATCTTATCCATTTCCGCTAATACTACTATTATCTCTACAACTGTGGAACTTGGACTGACAGTTGCGTCTCTGTGCTGATGCGGTATGGCAACCTGAACTTACGTACGTACTAAGCTTTACGTTGTAACTGACTGACTGACTTAAATAATACGAATGAGTCAGCAATCGGAATGAAATAATTCGTTATGCTTTTCAGTTATAGATGTGAAGCAGTTACTCATCGACGACAATAGATAAGGTCGCACAATATCTCAGATTGATTGAGTTGAGACATTAACACCGCTGGATGCTTGTTCAGTGATCAAGAGGTTGAGAATCTGTGTGCGAGACCGAAAATTCTAGGATTTGTAGAGGTTGTTAGGTTGTTCATTGTAATCATGAATTGATCAATTATTATATGGCTCACTAATGACTGACATTTTAAAAGAATTCTCCGACTTCAAATGTAAAGCGATGATTAGTGGAGTTCAACGGTGTCGGTTCTGAGGCAGTTACTCATCGAAGACAATAGATAAGGTCGTGCAATATCTCAGATTACACAGTATCAAATGGACAGCTAGGATCCAGATGGATGATCTGGACTTAGCAGATGATCTGCCTCTTCTATCACACACGTAACAACAAATGCAAGAGAAGACGACCAGTGTAGCAGCAAGTCTCAACATACATAAAGGAAAAAGCGAAATTCTCCGATGCAGCAAAACATGCACCAACCAAATCATTTTGATGAAGATTCTATGGAGGACGTTAACACCTTTACATATCTTGACAGCATCATCGACAACCAAGGTGGATCCGATGCAGATGTGAGGGCACGGATCGGCAAAGCAAGGGCTGCATTTCTACAGTTGAAAAATATCTGCAACTCCAAACAACTTTCAACCAAAACCAAAATCAGGATTTTCAATACAAATGTGAAGACAGTTCAACTGTATGGAGCGGAAACTTGGAGAACTACGAAAGGCATCATCCAGAAGATACAAGTATTTATTAACAGTTGTCTACGCAAAATACTATGCGGATTCTCTGGTCAGACACCATTAGCAACAACCTACTGTGGGAGAGAACAAACCAGATTCAAGTGGAGAAGGAAATGAGGGAGAAGCAAGGGAAGTGGATAGGACACACATTGCGGAAAGCATCCAACTGCGTCAAGACAAGACCTCAGTTGGAACCCTCAAGGTGAAAGGAAAAGAGAAAGGCCAAGGAACACATTACGCCGAGAAATAGAGAAAGATATGAGAGGAATGAACAAACATTGGACAGAATTGGAGAGGGAAGCCCAGGACAGAGTTGGTTGGAATAAAAACTGGTCAGCGGCCTATGCTCCATTGGGGGTAACAGCCGAAAGTAAGTAAGTAAGTAAGTAATATCTCAGATTGACTGAGTTTAGACAATAACATCGTTGGACACCTATTCATTGGTCAAGAGGTTAAGCATTTGTGTGCGAAACCGAAGATTCTAAGCTTCCATTCCCCCTCATACAGTCGTAAATGCGCACTGACGATGAGCTATTAAAATTGATTGAATTGCATAATAGAAACAGTAAAAGAAAATGTCACCACTATCTAATAAATGTGAGGAGATTATCAATATTGATTTAAATCTTGCACTGATCTTTTTTTTGCTGTTTCCTATTGATTAGTTCATCCGTCACAATATCAATGAATGTTATTTTCACATCTTCTTCGGTATATTATACAAGTGTTTCACTTTTATAATATACATACATACATACATATAATATACACACATAATACTGATTGACAGACATGGATAAAGTACCCATTTTTTTTGATAAACAGTTGCTTGATTTTCTCGTGTGATTTTTTGGTTTACTTTTTAAAGACAAGATCATCATCATCATCATCATCGACATCATGATCAGATGGTCAAACCTTTTTTCTGTGTTAACGTAGGAAAAATAATAAAACACAGTAAGATCAATAATGATTTCTGTGATTGTTGTTTGTAAAGAAAATGTGTGTTTTTTCTACCATGAAAAATTTTGTCTTTATTAATCACTGGGTTGAAATGATGAAAAAGGTCTTATGAGGCGATCAAAACTTCAAAGTCAGTCAGTCAGTCAGTCAGTTGCAACGTAGAACTTCGTACGTATGTACATAAGTTCAGGTTGCCATATCACATTAACACAGAGACGCGAATGTCAAATCAACGTTTCGAGGAGTCGAATCGTTTGCAGCAGAGGAGCGGGGAGATAAAGGAATCTCAGTAGAGTTGGTCGTGGAGATAAGAGAGATAATAGGGAGTGTAGGAAGGATTTGATTTTGACCAATTTGGTCCCACGTGTTGTTACGGGTATGAGGGCGGTTGTCATTTCCCGGCTGCCGACACCGTGGAAGGGTGTTTCTTGAGGGACCTGAAAAAGAAGGTAGATTAGTGTCGTTCCTAACGACCTGGGAGCGTGATCGCAGAGCTCAAGGGACAACTGCTTGAGGCCGGTCACACAAGGCCTTTTTTGTTAAAGGTTTTTTTGAGTATTAGCTCCGCTCTTGAAAGCCCTTAGTGGACACCGTTGCCGCCGGAGACGGAAATCCATGAGGTAGGGTGAGGTGTGACACTTTTAAGGTTGATCTTTTCTAACCATTCTTTCCTTGTGAGAAGGTAGCATCGCTGCACATGCTGGTTGTCCGAGGGAAAAACCCTAGTGCTGTCACACCCCTCCATCACAGTCAGCTGTACGACGTCACCCTCAGACCTTGGTTAGCTGCTTTTAGTCTCATGGTTCTGCAATCGACCTGCCTGGCATGGTAGAACCTTCAAGAACATAAGCTCCAGCCAATATAGCTTGGTTGGGTCATCACGATAGTCAAGCCCGACCTCCACGTCAAGGTAGTAGCCACGGTCGGGAAAAACTTCAAAGTGATGTAGAGTGTCAAAAATTATGTGTGTGCATATGTCCGATATTTTAGAGTTCTCTGATGATGGATGGTTTGATTATGGAGCTATGATTACCATTCTTAGTCACATTGTCAGCGGTTACTTACCCTACAAGCTTCGCGATTGAACCAAACCAAAAAAATACTCATCTGAGATGTTGCTGAACTTGAACATCATTTCAAGATGTATTATGTGTGCAATAAGTAGTCATTCGACTTCAGTTACTTGTTTGTGATTGATTATCACGAAACACCTAGAAACACTTGACAGCCATCTCGTCCTAGTATTAGGAGCTCTCCTCAGCAGAGATCATTTTCGACCCCGTCGTTGAATAGTTGAGACTAAGGATCTTCGGTCACGTGCGTGAACTCTTAACCTCTAAAAACACCGAGCCACCATCATCCAACAATGTTAATGTCTAACTTTAATCAATTTACAATATCACAATAAAATCAAATTTGTTTTAAGTATAATTGTGTTTATCACAAGTCCAATGTACATCATCAATTTACAGTAATCCAGTAAGACAAACAGACAGATGTAACGTATAACTTCGTACGTAAGTACATAAGTTCATGTTGCCATATCACATCAGCACAGAGATTCAATTGTCAATTCAAATCCAGTAGTAGAAGAGGTAGTAAGGCTATTAGAAGTAATAGGAGAGGTTAGGAGTAGAAGATATTATTCAAGAAGTATGATTCAGTGAGAAATGTTTCGAAAGTCAAAACTAGAGGTGTTGAAGAATCCAGAAGATTAGGATTTGAGAGAACACAAAGAATAAATGCACCGGCGCCATCGCAAACGGTTTCGAGCCATGTGATTCACGGTCTCTAACCATCGATTATTATCATCTCGCGGACCCCAACCAGGTAGTCGACACCTACAGACATGGCTAAGTCCACTTGTCAATGACTTCATGGATTTCTGCCATGTTTTGGTTTGGCCGCCCCTAGCTTTCTTCCAACCTATTCCTACACTACAAAACAAAGCTTGTCGAGGCAGTCGGTGGTTCGGCATACGCAACACATGTCCCAACCACCTCAACTGATGAAGTTGTTTCATTACTTCATCTATTGATTTGACAGTAATCCAGTCAAATTTCTTTTAGCACATAAGCACATATTATCAAGAATTAAAATGTCAGTAGTTTTTTTATGATAAGGAGAAATAAAACAGATCATGATGACTAAACACGAATCAGCTAGAACATAGTTCATCATATCTCTTATTTTATTTAGCCACATTCTTTTATTAAGGTACTACTACTAAACAACATAACATTATCATAACATGTATTCATCAACTTTGATTAGTCTATTTTATGGATACAAGTATTTATTAACAGTTGTCTACGCAAAATACTTCGGATTCGTTGGCCAGACAACATCAGCAACAACGTACTATGGGAGAAAACAAACCAGATTCCAATAGAGGAGGAAATCAGGAAGAAGCGGTGGAAGTGGATAGGACACACACTATGAAAAGCACGTAACTGCGTCACGAGACAAACCTTCACATGGAAGCCTAAAGGTAAAAGGAAAAGAGGAAGGCCAGGGAACACGTTACGCCGAGAAATAGAGAAAGACATGAGAAGAATGAACAAAAATTGGACAGAATTGGAAAGGGAAGCTTTGGACAGAGTTGGTTGGAGAAAACTGGTGGGCGGCCTATGCTCCATTGGGGGGGGGGGGGTAACAGGCGAAAGTAAGTAAGTAAGTAGTAATATATATATATATATATATATATATATATATATATATATAAACAAAAGAAATGCATATCATTTAACTACATGAAATCAAACAGTGAAAAATTGTGTAGGCAAAAGATACATATACATATACATTAATATAAACAACTGATTCAATTGTTCAATGGTTTCTTTTTTATTCAATTGTATTGTTTACAAGGGAATTGTTTTATAATGAATAATATAAAGAGGAAAAAAGGATTAAACATATAATTATTGTATGATTAATTGTTCAATGAATTGATTGTTGTAGATTGAACATTGAGAGCATTGAGAATTGAATACAGTGTAGTTACAGTAAGTAAATTACTTAGAAGAAGACGCTGTCATATTATTTAGAGACTCATTAATAATGTTAACCGCCAGTCAGTCACTCAGTTACAACGTAGGACTTCGTACGTACGTATGTACATCAATTCAAGTTGCCATACTACAGGAACACACAGACGCAACTGTCAATGCGAATCGCATAGTAGAAGAAGTAGTAGAACGATTAGCAGTAATCAATAGATTAATGATCGAATATATCATTTGAGATGTATACACCAGAGGACGCAATTAGAGAAAAAGAAAGAAACCGGTCCATGAGGAGTTCAGAAGATCAGGATTTGAGAAAACACAAGGAATGGATAGATATGCGACATTGCAAACAGTCTCTAACCATCGATTACTATCATCTTGCGGACCCCGACAAGATAGTCTAGATCTACCAACATGACTCAGTCCACTTGTCAGTGACTTCATGGATTTCTGCCATGTTTTGGTTTGGCCGCCCCTAACTTTCTTCCAACCTACTCCTACACCACACAACATAGCTCGACGAGGCAGTCGCTGGTTAGACATACGCAACACATGTACCAACAACCTGAACTGATGGAGTTCCTGTACTCTATCTATTGATCTGCCATCTTTAACTAGTACCCGAATCCTAACATTTGCATTGCTAACTCGATAGTCCCAAAATAATTGAGCAATACTTCGGAGACACCTACGATCGAAAACCAGTAACCTACAAATATCTTCAACTCTTACCGAACATATTTAACTGCTGAGCAGTACGCTCGTCCTGTCGTTAGCAAACGGATATCTCGTCTACGCCACAAAAGACGCAAGTTGGCAAAAGCCAATCGAGCCTTCTGTGTCCGTGTTGAGGTTTCGTCACAAACCAGGCCATCAGCACTGATGTAAATCCCAAGATAAATCAAGCGGTCGACACGCTCAATCGCTTCACTCCCTATCACTATTTCAGGTGCCTGAAGCAACAATTCGCATTTCGACGGAGAGAATCGCATATCGTGAATCTTTACAGTTAGAAAAATGGAATATTTATGTTACATAATGATTGCATCATAGGTCAACAAAAATAAATCTGCTTCTAACTTTCAACGATGATGATGAAACCTTTGGATGTAATTTATCAACTGAATGATAATTTGTAAACATGATTTTAGCGTATGCCACCATTATATATGTTACAGTTAGTATAATGAACCCATTAGAAGTGACCAAATGAGAAGGCCATTTGATGACCAACAGAATGTATGTCCTAAAGGACAAACACACATCATTGGTTGATAAATGGGTTACCTTTCTAAGGAGATGGAATATATTTATGCATATATATATAATTAGGCACAAGACAATACGAACTTACCACCACGTTGAACAAGTAATCGTGCTTCTTTGCCAACTGGACATTGTTTTAATATTTGTACAACTTCAATATGTGGCATATCTTTTACACGTTGATCGTTAATTTCAACGATGACATCACCAACACGTAAACGACCACATCTGATTGGATCGGAAATAGCTTTCACATGTTGACCTTGGATGTGATCGGCTAAAGTAAAACCGAAACCATTGGTTTGTTTAAAAATGGACACCTAAAACAGATATACAAAGAGAAAAAATATCAGATTTTATGATTTTATTAATTATTGAAAGAATAAAACTGCACCAAAAATAAACATCACAGAGAGTTCCAGTATAATGATAAAAACAATACCCGTTCACATAATCGATGACTAAGTACTAATGTGGTGCGAGCTACTTATAAGTAGTATATGACGTGAGTGTCAACGTAATGTCTGGCAGCAGAACATGGGGGAAGATCAAGAAAGGAAGAGTTAGAACACAATGGAATTTGTATGAAACACATGAATAGTGACAATGGATTGATGTTTTGCAACAGGAACAGTCCAGTTCGATATGATGAACTGATATTTTGCAAATTAACGATTTACGATATGGTTTTCCTATTTTACTAAGTAACTCTGTAATTTTCGTTAAATACAATCCAGTTGCCCCATCTGTGTTCTCGTTCACTACACTAATATACCTGGTTAAACCATCATAGTTGATGACAAGTTACATTCTCAATAACGGATTCGTCATTTTTAAACGCTAATTTAAATATATATTTCCCTCTGTGGTATACTACGCTACGTGGAACTCTGTAAGTAAGTACATCAGTTCATGTTGCCATACCACCACATTAGCACAGAGATGTAACTGTCAATTCAAATCCAATTGTAGAAGAGGTAGTAAAGGTATTAGAAGTAATCGGAGAGGTTAGGATTAGAAGATATTATTCAAGAAATATGATTCAGTGAGAAAAGTTTACAAAGTCAAAAGTAGAGGTGTTGAAGAATACAGAAGATTAGGATTTGAGAGAACATAAAGAATAAATGCACCGGCGCCACTGCAAACGGTTTTCAGCCCAGTCATTCAGGGTCGCTAACCATCGATTACTATCATATCTCGGGCCTTAACCAGGTAGTCGACCCTACCGACATGACTCCGTCCACTTGTCAGTGACTACGTGGATTGTGCCACGTTTTGGTTTGGCCGCCCCTAGCTTTCTTCCAACCTAATCCTATAACCTCTACTACTATAGGATTTAAAGAGATAATTCGATCTCTCTGTCCGTCTGCCCGTAACAGCACACGAGATCGAATAGGTGTCCATACGTGCCAAGTTCCAAGTTGAAGCTAACTGAATAACATACTTAACAGATCAACATTATAAACTCAAAAAAACTGGCATCAAAAATCAGTTCAATGTCTAATATATGTGAAGCGTAATTTTTTTTTTACTAGTCACCGTGAAAAATTTAAACAAAAAAAAAAAGAAAGACTTTTGTCAAATGTTCAATGTTCACAATCAAAAATAAAGTACTTTCACACTGACATTTAGATCAACTATTGCGTGATTTACTAAGTAAAAACTTACATACTAGAACATCATATAATATGAGTAAAAATAATTTTCTAACAACCAATATACAAACAATGAAAACAGAAGATTTATCACTTACAAAATTTTTGCCAAAATTCAATATATATATATATATATATATATTTATCTCAATTAGTTATTCAATTAACTTATAATTGTGTATTTTTATTATAGGTCAAGCGGAACTAAATATTTTTTCACGACAATTTGATTAAAAATTAATTTTTTATATTAGCGTAAGTTGTGATCGAAAGAATTAATATACCGATAGTTAATTAGCTATAATGTATAACTTGGTATGTACGTATGTACGTACGTACGGCTATATCACATAAGCATACAGATATCGAATTGTGAGTTCAACTAACAAAGTAGTAGATGTAGTAGAAGTATTAGCAGTAATCAAAAAGGTTTCGGATTGAAGATATGATTAGAGAAAATATAAACCAGTGAAATAAATTCAAAAACAGAAAAATAAAGGGTTATGAGGAACTCCGAAGGTTAGAATTCGAGAGAACACATAGAGTGGATGCATCTGCGCCATTGCAAATGATTTTAAGCCATATCATTCAAAGTCTATAACTATTGGTTATTATCGTTTCGCAGACCACTAAAATGGCTCAGTCCACTAGTCAGTGACTTCATCGATTGGTGATATTCTTTAGTTTGGCCGCCCCTAACCTTCTTTTAACCTACTCCTCTACATTACAAAACATCGCTCGTCAGTGATTGAGCATACGCAACACATGTCCCAACCACCTCAGCTGATAACGTTTCACTACTTCGTCCGATTTGTCATCCTTACGTAGTACTGTTTTCCTAACCCCAACATTACTTTATCGGTGGTCCTATGGTATACGGACTAATGCTTCGAAGACACCTATTATCGAATACTAGTGTAGTGCGAGCTACTTATAAGTAGTATATGACGTGAGTGTCAACGTAATGTCTGGCAGCAGAAGATGAGGGAAGATCAAAAAGGGAAGGGTTAGAAAACAATGGAATTTGTATGAAATGCATGAATAGTGACAATGGATTGATGTTTTGCAACAGGAACAGTCCAGTTCGATATGATGGATTGATATTTTGCAAACTAACGATTTACGATATGGTGTACCGATTTTACTGAGTAACTCTGTAATTTTCGTTAAATACAATTCGGTTGATCCACCTGTGTTCTCGTTCACTACACTAGTAAACATATATAAATATATGCCTAATAGAAGTTATATTTTAATCATAAATTATTCCATGTACTACTTATAAGTAGAAATCAATTACAATATAATTATTAAAACTTAAATTATATGGAGATTAGTACCAATTAATGTTTAAGGTTATAGAAAGATTAACTTCAACAAGATAGCTATTGAAAATTAAGAAGCGTTGTCGATGAAACCTTTTCAATATGTCAAAGGTATGAAACCAAAAAAAACCAATCGGGTTCGTAGCGAGAAAATATGCCGCTTCTTAGATTGAGTTTCAAAATCCACTCAGTTAACAGATGCCTAATTTTAATTCCACTTATAATATCAAGGTCATTATCAATGACTTAAAGTAATCAACAATGCTATGCTGTATATATTATTCTTGAGATAGTTATTCAAGTGAGATCAATCTGTGACAAAAAATATCAACCAGAATGAAAATATTGACATTAAAATATTATCCTTGAATCGATAACGAGCAAACACACACCTTGTACACGCAACAGTGATTTATAGATCCGTGGACGTGGACTTTTATTTAAAAAACGGAGCTAAATTTGAGTAGCTGCTTAATGAAATGTTTCAAAGATGATATTACCGAAAAAGTACTTATGATATATACATGGAACCGATAGTAATGAAACTTAATGTGTTATCGTGTATTAGATATAATACAGTTGTGTGAATTAAAAACCGATATGCATATATGTGCGTTGATAATGTAGTGTAAACTAAGAGTGATTAGATTTTTGTTTACTGAAACATTTAACCCCAGTTAAACTGAACTGTCAGTAATGAATCAGATAAGCAAAAAGGATTTATGGAGATTGTAGTATTTTCATAGTAGAAATCACGAGCTGATCAATGTTAGAACATAAAATAAAAACATGAAAGCATCGGATGACTGTTTCGTTCAAATATAGGACTTCTCAGCAATGAGTATCCAGGATCTTTGATCTTGCGCGCGAACACTTAACCTCTAGACCATTGAGTCGTTCAATCTATGATCCTGAACAACCTGCATCCGTTGCCTAAGGCAAAAAACTGTCTCACACTCGACAGGGAGTGAACACTACAGCTTACTGTTTCTTACTAGAACTCCAGTAATTCATCTTGAAGTTAATCAACCATGAATTGATTGAATTTATCACCAACATCAGTGGAGTTCGTGCGCTAGGCCTCAGGCCCTGTATTAGATTCCTGCATGAGACGTCATGAATGCATACCACTGACGGGTCTCGTGCTAGAACGAGACAGCCGTCCACTGCTTTCAGGTTTATCATGATGGTCTAGCCTGAAGGACGAGAGTACTGCGCAATAGTTCGCTCGATCTTACTTTATGGCTGAGAAACATTTCCAGTGGGAGTAGAAGATATTCGTAGGTTACTGGTTTTCGATCATAGGTGTCTCCGAAGCATTGCTCGTGTATCATGGGACAACCGAGTGAGCAACGCTATTATTAGGAATCGAGTGCTAGGTAAGAATGGCAGATCAATAGATGAAGTAATGAAACAACTTCATTAGTTGAGGTGGTTGGGACATGTGTTGCGTATTTCTAACCACCGACTGCCTCGATGAGCTTCGTTTTGTAGTGTAGGAATAGGTTGGAAGAAAGTTAGGGGGGGCCAAACCAAAACATGGCACAAATCCATGAAGTCATTGACAATTGGACTTAGCCATGTCGGTAATTGTCGACTACCTGGTTGGGGTCCGCGAGATGATAATAATCGATGGTTAGAGACTCTGAATGACATGGCTCAAAATCGTTTGCAGTGGCGCCGGTGCATTTATTCTTTGTGTTCTCTCAAATCCTAATGTGCTGGATTCTTCAACTTTCTAAACTTTTCCCACTGAATCATACTTCTTGAATAGTATCTTCTAACCCTAACCCCTCCGATTACTTCTAATTCCCTTACTACCTCTACTACTATTGGATTTGAATTGACAATTATATCTTTGTGTTGATGTGGTATGGCAACAGGAACTGATGATGTACTTACGTACGAAGTTGTACGTTGCATCTGACTGACTGACTGACTGATGGTCTTAACTAAGATCAGTTCATCATTTCAATCATGAAACTAATCACTATTGACAAGTAATCATCATATTTATAAAGAGATTTGAATATAATCACTAAATTTTTATCCACAAACTCCATAAAAATGAATACAAACTAATTGCAGAAGTTAAAAAGTCAGAAAAATGTTCCAACAATCATACAAATACTTTGATTTGAAATAAAAAAAAAGGAAAACAAAAAACCTGATCACACAAAGCATGACAAACAAAAATATCATAAATATTTCACATTTATTATTACTCTTCAATCAAATTAAAAACAATTCATTATTTTATTGCATCTGTTTATTGATTGGTTAAAAATTCACATAGAACATGCCTCCTGCATTTGGGCCAATGCAATTCATCAGTAGTGTAGAACAGAATATCTCAAAAAGCATTTTAATGTCATATATTATGGAAACTCTGCGAGGTAATAGTAATCGATGGTTAGAGACCCTGAATAACATGGCTCAAAACTGTTTGCAATTTTTCAATACGAACGTCAAGATAGTTCTATTGTATAGGTCAGAAAATTGAAGAACTAAGAAAGTCATCATCCATAAGATATAGGTGTTTACTCACTGTTATCTACGCGAGATACAGAAGGTTCGTTGACCAGACACTATTAGCAACAACCTAGTATTGCACAGAACAAAGCAGGTTCCAGTTGAGGAATAAATTAGGAAAAAATTGCAAGAGGTGGATAGGATATACATTGCATAAATCTACGAAGTGCATTACCGGGCAGTCGTTAACTTGGAATCCTCATAGGCAAAGGAAAAGAGGTAGACCTATGAACATATTGAGCCGAGAAATGGAAATAGACATGAAAAGAATCAATAGCGATTGGTTATAACTAGAAAGGAGAGTGGAGGACAGAGTTGGTTGAAGAATGCTGGTCGACGGCCTATGCTCCTTCAGGAGCAACGATAAAAATAGAAAACTTGTTAACTTGATCTCTTTTAAAAAAAAATTAAATTTAACACTAATAACACAATGAAATCATGAACGAACCATTGTTAGATCATTATTCGAAACTTGAAAACACTGCTGATGAGTCCCATACCGGGACGAAACGCCCGTCCAGTGCTTTGAAGTTTCTAATGGTGGTCCGTCTAACAATAATGATTCATTCACAATTTCAATGTGTAAAAATCATGATCACCATCATAATGCCTATATAATACAAAATAATAACACACAGTTTATGATAATCATTAATCACCTTTAGAAATTCTGGTCTTTGTGAATTGCGCAATTTCCCGACAAAATTATTTCCTTGACCATTTAAATTGGATGGACTAGAACGTACTACAAGGAGTTCTTGTGATGAATTACCATTATTCGATACTGAAGATCCTGATGCTGATAGAGGTGGTGTCGGTGAAATTGAAGAATGTGATGAAGAGATGATACCGGAATTTCTTGATGCATTGACTAAATGTAATTCAGTCAATGGTAGGCTATCAACAGTATCTTCATCAAGTTTACGGTTATTTAAAGTATTCTTATTCTACAAGTGAAAGTATAGAGAAGGAATAAATATTTGACGGTAGATGTTAAAAAACAAACAACCAAATTACGATGCATTATGAATGACGGGCGATATATACATATATCAATGCCTAATTTGGTCTCGTGTGCTGTTACGGGTATGAGGGCGGTTGTCGATTTCCGTTTGCCCACACCGTGGAAGAATTTTTCTTGAGGGACCTGAAAAAGACGGTAGATTAGTGTTGGTCTTAACAATCTGGGAGAGTCCAAGGGACAACTGCTTGAGGCCGGTCACGCACGGCCTTTTTATGAGTTTTTTGAGGATTAGCTCCGCTCTTGAAAGCCCTTAGTGGTCATCCTTACCGCCGGAGACGAAAATCCGTGAGGTAGGGTGAGGTGTGACATTTTTAGGGTCGACCTTTTCTAACCCTTCCTTCCTTGTGAGAAGGCAGCATTGCTGCAAACTGGCATGGTAGAACCTTCAGGAACATAAGTTCCAGCCAATATAGCCCGGTTGGGTCATCACGATGGGCAAGCCCGACCAGCACGTCAAGGTAGCAGCTTCGATCGGGAAAAGTTCTATGCTATCATGAAAATTTTATTGGTACAGACTAAATCCTGACTTCTTGCGTAAAAATAAGGCATGCAAACATTAGAAAGTAAAGCCAATGATTTGAAACAGAATAAGTTAACCCCACAAATATTCTGGTAAGGCTGACAATAAGAAAAACGATTAACTCTCACTTGTAATGACTGTCGATTCGAAATCGCTTTAAAAAAAACATTTGACCGAGTTCTTTTACACATGGCAGGGATATACTTGTAAAAATTGAGAGGGTAATTTCGAATGGCTGTCGATCAAACCGCGCGCTGGTCCTTACAGCATATTTAGCCCAAACGAACAGAATTTTCAGACATTTCTCAACAATTAGACTTTCAGGTTTGATAATTTTCTCCTTAAAAAACTGCAGAGGATTGTTTAATGATTAGGTTCATGGGGTTATCCAAGCTTTGTGCATTACTGTGGAACTTATTAAAATGAAATCAGAATTTTAACGGACACGTTCTACTAGTAAATAGATTGGTGACGACTATATTGGTTGTAAACTGTTTTGATATTGTTGGAAATGAATGTCATTCATTTTGGTTGTGTTTCCGAACTGTAGCCTTTCAACATTTCGCAATTTCTCATTACTTTATTTCTTTAGAATATCGTTCGTCAGTTTTGCATGACGTACACAATAGAGTTTCATCCGATGAATTAGAAAACGAATTTACACGTTACATGGAAGGAAGGATTTGATATTGACCGATTTGGCCACGTGCGTTGTTACGGGTATGTGGGTGAATGTGACTTCCCGGCTGCCCACATTGTGAAAGGGTGTTTCTTGAGGAATTTGGAAAGAAAGTTAGTGTTGGTCTTAGAGACCTCAGAGTGGACCGCAAAGCCCAAGGGGGAACAGCTTCAGACCGGTTGCGCAGGTAATTTTTGTGAGACGTTTTCAAAGTGCTACGCTGTTCAAATGGCCTTACCGAAGGGGACTGAAATCCGTGAGGTAAGGTGAGGTGTGACATTTTCGGGGTCGACCTTTTCTAACCCTTCCTTCCTTCCTTGCAGATGGTGGTTTTCAGAGGGAAACACCTTACTGCTGTCACACCTCTCTACAGTCAGCAGTACGACTTCGCCCTCAAACCTTGAGTAGCTGTTTTTAGTCTCATCGTTCTCCAATCGACCTGCCTGGCATGATAAAACCTTCAGGAACATATGTCCTAGCAAATATAGCTCGGTTGGGTCATCACGATAGGCAAGCCCGATCATCATGTCAAGGTAGCCGCTATAGTTGAAACACGTTACATGATATAAAATATAATTTTTCAAAACAAACAAAAACATTGGAAACCAATCACAATTTATCTACCTACCTGAGCTGAGATATCAATCACATCGTTCAGGACACCTGTTGCACCATGATGATGATGATGACCATTCACATGGATCGGTGGATCATCACCAGCTTCTCGTCGTAATCGATAACCTTGTGAAACGAGTAAATTAATACTAGCTCCAATTGGAATTGACTGAAATAATGATACTAATTGAGAGTGTGTATAACCCAGTACATTTGTTCCATTCACACTGACGATGACATCACCAACAGCTAATTGACTATTCAAGGAAGCTGGACCACCTGGAACAAGATGTTTCACCTAAATAATCAAAAAAAAAGAATGAAAGCATAAGAAGAGCGTTAAACAATCAGTTACGAAGTAGAACTTCGTACATACCTAGATCAGTTCAAGTTGTTATACCACAAAGAGATACAATTGTCACTTTAAATGCCATAGTGTTATTCAAGGAGTATAATCTAGTGAAAGAGATTTGAAAAGATGGTTATGAGGAATCAAGATTAGAATTTGGAACAACACAAACAATGGATGCACCTGAGCCATTCCAAACGATTTTGAACCATGTAGTTCAAGGTCTGTAACCATCAGTTATTATTGTTTCACGGATCGAATTGTCAATTCAAATACCGTATTAGTAGAGGCAGTACAACTATTAGCGGTAATAAAAAAGATTATTAACTGAAGATATCATTCGAGAAGTCTATCTAAAAGGAAAAAAAATCATCTCTCGGGGCCACAACTAGGTAGTTTACACCTACCAACACGACTAAGTCCACTTGTTAATGACTCCATGGATTTCTGCAATGTTTCGGTCTGGCCACCACTAGCTTTCTTCCAACCTATTCCTACATTGCAAAACACAGTTCGACGAGGCAGTCGGTGGTCGAGCATTCGTAACACATGTTCCAACTATCTCAAATGTTGAAGTCTCACTATTTCATTTATTGATTTGTCATCCCTACCTAGTACACATTTCCTAACTATAGCATTGCTTACTCGGTTGTCCTAGGATATACGAGCAATGCTTTGAAGATATCTATGATCGAATACTAATAACCTTCTACTCTTACCGGTCATGTTTTGCATGGAAAGCGAATATATTTCAAATTAGTTTTTTTCTATGATTCATACATAAAGTTCGGGATTAATGTATTTAGCTTTCAGCTACGCATTAAATGTCATAGTTAACCATACTTTTTAATCGATCGCTCAATTCAAGGTAAATGATGTAGAACATTAACCTACCGCTCCATAATTTATTGAATCAATCCCGCATGCAGCTCTTCTACTGTTACTGCTGGTCCCAAGTTCGGATAACAGAGGAGGGTTAGGCTGCCTGAAAGAGCAATGATACCTGGTCTAGGGATAACGCTAGAAGAAAGTCAGGCGCGGCCAAACCAAAACATGGCACAAATCCATGAAGTCACTGACAAGTGGACTGAGCCATGTTAGTAGATGTGGAATACCCGGTTGGGTCCGCGAGACAGTAATAACCGATAGTTAGATACCTTGAATAATATGGCTCAAAATCGTTTGTAATGGCCCAGATGTATCCACTCTTTGTGCCTTCTCACATTCTAATCTCCTGAATTCTTCACGACCTTTATATTTCGAGTATACTTCTTGAATATCTTCATGCCCAAATCTTCTCCATTCCGCTAATACTTATTCTACTACCTTTACCACTATAGGG